GGGCCTTGATGAACCCACAACAGGGATGAAAAACCGTCTTAGTGCTCTGGGTAGAAAATAGTAAAAAAAAGCAATAATATATTTTTTTGAATAAAACTCTTGAAGCTTTTTTTATAATAAACTAAATATTTTAAATAACAAATATTACAAATATCCCGAACCTTTAGAAAATGTACGCTATTTTCTAATTATTAAATAATTTGCTTTCTTGGAAACAATTACAACATAATTAAATAAATAATAAAATAACAAATAGTCATTTTCTGACATTTCCTGTAACGTTTTCCTTTCAATTACTATAGCAATCGCTGTCTTTCTTTCTCAATAATAAACTCTTACTCCATTTCAATTTAAAATTTTTAAATTTACAATAAATTTTTTATTTAAAAGTTTTATTCTGTCCTTAGTTGTTAAAAGTTTACATTTTTCTATTAAACATTTTTAATGGTGATATAATTTATCTAGTAATAAAATTACTCAAATCCCTATATACTGTATAAACTACATGCTAAATGTAACTATTTTTAAGTATTTATAGAGGAAAACTTATTATAACATTTAAGGTTTTTTTAGTGTGTGTGTAAGATACTTTATAATACACTCAATAATATTTAGTAGGCCTATATAAATACGCTAGGTAAGTGTGGACTATTGAAACTCGTTTTATATAAATTAATATAACGTAAAGCCCAAATCAATATGATAATTATTATTGTACAAGATATATGATTTAAGCTAGTACTATATTGAATTCCGACAATTAGACTAATATCGAGTCTACCGGCATAAATTAGTATGTGCTTGGTGCTTCTAAAAATGCGATAATCTAAACAAAAATCTAAGATTTTTTTTTCTAAAACTACTATAATACAATCTGATGTCAAATTAATATGGAAAATATAATATTATTTGATATAATTAGTTGTTATTAACATTCAGGCAATCCTGAGAGGGGCGAGACTGCATTGCAGGTGCAAACACACACATTTAATTAGCCAAAGAGATAAGTTATAGCGTTTATAATAAAATATATCTTGAAAATTATCATTATTTGCCTTACCCAACCTCAAAACTCATTATCAGTTTTATATCTACTTTTTTATTTTTTTAGTATCACAGTATTTATTTTATTGCTCCAAGCTTAGGTTTAATATTATCCAACCTGTCTTTTTAGTTTATGTTTATATTAATATGTCATCTACTTGTAGAATAAAATTTAATTTTTTTATTGAACTTTTTATGTATATTATTTTTTCTTTTTTTATATTGAGAACGGAGTCTTAAAAAAGAGACTTAATTCTCACGAAAATGTATCAATATAGAATTTTAACGTATAATTAAATGTTTTTTTCCAGTTGTAAATTTCTAACCCTAGACTTAATTGTCTTTATAATGATGAACTGACACAGATGAATTTCCTCTTTTAATCGCATTTAGCTATATCTGAAGTTAAGCTAAGATCACTTGAGAAAATCAGATGACCTACGACCCTTTAAATAAATAAAAAACA